GTCAGATACAACTTGATTGAATCATATCAGACTTAGTCGATTCTTTTGGTTTATGGTTACTCCATAAACTATCATTATTGCATGAATGTGCACTTGGCACCACACCCAATGCTTAGGTGTTTCGACCACATTGGTAGCTTAAGGGACTTCCAATGTAACCGTGGTGGCGAGTCTCTGAAAATCTGCACTCCTCACCCATTCGCTTTAACTTTCTAATTTTTCAAATGTTTAGTGCCTGCAATTCCTTTTTTATGAACTTGATATATACTGCCCCCTTATAAATTTATGTGATTTCTGATGGTTTTCACTAGTATAAATCTGGATTGACATCTTATTTGGCCCCAAAACTTTGCTCCAAAAGTTCAGTTTAGTCTTTAAAGTTTATTTTGTTTTAGTTCTATTCTCCAATTTTTTCATGTAGACCTTCATGTCCAATTTCATTAGAATTCCCTAGGTAAAACATCATATGTGCATAGAATAGAGCTTGACAATGAAGAGAGAGGGTAAATGGAGAGGGAGAAAGAGAATTAGAGAGAAAAATGTTCAGCAAGAGAGAGAGAGAGAGAGAGAATGTTTGCAGATAGTGGAAGCTACTCAAAAGAGTAGAATTTGGAGATAAAAAAAACTATTTACTCTAATAGCGTGACTGCGGGTGCCATAATAACATTAAAATTAACCGCCTTACTGCTAGCCTTGTAGGCTTAATGGGTTGCCCTTTCTGCCTTCAAACATCAAACTAATCTACTGAAGAACACTTGCAGGTTGCAATCATAGGGTGGTATGCTGTTAAATGTTAAGGAAATAATTTCATGATTAGTGAGGAATAAACAATTATAAAGTTGTTTTAGTTTGTCTTTTATAGTTTCTGCTATTTTTTCACTTTGTACTTTGGTAGAAAATGAAAGGTCTGTTTTTGATGTTCTGTTGACCTCCTGAGTTTATTGATACGATTGAAGAATAGGGGCAGGGGGCAGGGGGCAAGGGGCAAGGAGGGTTTCATATTGTCTGTACCTGGTTGACATATGGCTTAATTAACTTGATTCCTTTCTTGTGGAAAGAATGGACTGTAGAAATATATAGTGTTTGTTGTATCTGTAGCTTGTTGCTATTATGTTTCTTGTGGAAGCATGGACTGACGGGCAGATATCCAATTTTCACTCAGGTAGACTGGTTTAAACCCTCAATTGACAAAAGGAAAGTGAGGAAGGTCGCGAGATGTTCCCATCAAAATCTTGAAGAGGTGGAGGTGTTTGGGTATTATGGCCGCAAAAGTGAACTGGAACTTGTCATATACTTACTGGAGAATGCGGTTGCCCTCAAGAAAATTATTATTGATCCCCATAATCCCTTTTTACCAGACCGCCCAAAGAAAATTGGTCAAATCGAGAAAGAAAAGGCCGCACGAGTTCGTGCCAAGCGGCAGTTGAAAGGTAGAGTAACAGTAGGAATTGAATTAGTGATACTTTGATTTGTAAAACTAGCTCTGTTGAGCGTTTACAATTTGTTTAGGAGAATTATGAGGGCTATTGTGGTGATGTATTTTTGGCGAGATTTGGGTAGTGGTTTTTGCGAGAGACTTGTTTTTGTTGCTTTTAATTGGTTATTTTTTAATTTAAGTTTACCTTCATTTTAATTTGTTCTGGTACACGAAGCACTTTTGGGAGACTTTCCCTCTAAGATTGTATGTGTCTATTAGTCATTTAATGTGAAAGTTTACCAAAGGAACTAATGACTCTTTGTCAAATCACTAGATCCTAGACGGTCCCTTTCTTTCCTTTAATAATAGTCAATCGGTTCACCCAAGTATTGCATGGATTAAAGCGTTAAAAATCTGTCTGCCGAATCCCAACTCTCTCCCTCTCCCTCTTGGTTATTTCTGTTAACAAATGTGGTTATTTGAAGAGCACCGTAGTTCACTCCATTATTAATTGAACAATGCTATTGTGACATAATTTAAAAACATAATTTGAAGACTTAATGATTGTGACCATTAGATTGTCAGTGAGTTTTAACATTCATTTATCACTGGGTTCTAACACTATCAATATAATGGTTATAATGCATTAAGTCTCTAAATTATGTCCCAATAGCATTAGTGTTATTAATATCTAGTATAACACTCTCATTATTTATTCCCAAGTGAAAAAGTTTTACACGTAACAAATGAAAAAGTTTTAAATGTAACAAACTATGGATCACGAAGGAAATTGAAAAAGTTTTAAATGAAACAAACTATGGGTCATGAAGGAAATCAACATACAGAAGAGAGTTTATTTTCTTCAATGCAAAGTATATCGTATCATTGAAACTACTATTTGAACATGGAGAGGTTCTTGGATCTTTCTCACTTTCTGGTATGATGGCCATATATCGTATATGTTCAAAGATGGAGACAACCTCTGGGTTGAATGGGTAAAATCTGTTTATGTAAGAGGAAGAACCTTCTGGGAGCTTAAAACCTCTCAAGGTTTCTCTTGGAGTTGGAAAAAGATTTGGAAGTTAAGACCTCTTGTTAGTCCTTTAATCAAGCACATTATTGGGGACGAGAGATCAACTAAGTTGTGGCATGATAATTGGCACCCTGAAGGACCACCCTTGATGAATTATTGAAGAGTCTTTATTACCAGCTACTGCTATAGTTAAGAGCATCATTGATAGCGACAATTGGAATTGGCCTGACCATAAATCATCTGATATGCATGAAATATGTAGCACAATGCCTAATTATACCCCAAATGTCCTTCATTCTGATCAAGTCAAATGGCTTTCTATTGATAATGGAATTCACACAACTCAATCAACTTGGATTTTGATTGTGTCTCAATTCCCCAAGGTATACTGGTATAGATTTGTCTGGTATGGACAAACTATCCCCAAGATATGCTTTATCATGTGATTAGCTATTCTTGAAAGATTAAATACTAAGAATCGTGTGAAAGTTTATATGCAACATGTGGAGTGTATTTGCTTGTTCTGTAGAAGTGAGGAATAAAGTTACAAGCATTTGTTTTTTGATTGCCCTATTACATCTGGGATATAGAGAGCAGTGCTGCAAAGGAGTAGAGAGTTTTGACGGTCTCTCATTCTTAATGCTTCTAGAGACTGGAAAAGGGTAGACTTTGAAGATGAAAAATTCTAAAGTTGAGCCTTCAATTTTAGCACAAATCCCAAGACTCGAGGCAAGTAAATGAAAACTTAAACTACAATGGTCAAGCATGGACCTGTTTGGTCTGTTTTTGCGCACATGCACATTTGAAGGGTATTTTTGATACCAAAATGAAAGGTATTTTTGATACCAAAATAATGAGAAATTTTTTAATAGCGGGAGGAGCTTTTGGTGTATCCCCCACACGCAGAGGTGGTGCATGAAACCTAGACTTTGAATTTTGACATGCTTGGCACGTGTATACTTTTAATTTAATTTCTGATTTCTTTAATATATTTTTTTAAAAGGGATAATGTCAGTCACCTCTCTTCTAGTTTATTATATCTTCAAAGATATCCTCTCTTTTTTTTTGAATCTTCACTGAATCTATTGTCAGATTAAAGGTGTTAATTAGAATATAATTTTACTAAATTGTCCATGACATATTTGAGAAAAAACTCCATTCACACCTTCTCTAGATAGATATAACTTCAATGAAACCTTCTCTGTTTTATAATTTTTTTTGTATTAAATTTGGACCGATTAAAATTTGATTTGAGTTAATTAAAATTTATTTTTTACGTATTAAAATTCGAGTTGATTAAAAATTATATTTTTTTGTGTATTGAAATTTGAGCCGATTAAAAATCAGCTCAAATCAACTCGTATTGAATTTTAATAGACTCGAATTTTGATAAATAAAAATATAAATTTTAATTGACTCAAATTTTAATACGTAAAAAATAAATTTTAATCAACTTGAATCGAATTGTAATTAACACAAATTTTAATAAGTAAAAAATATAAATTTTAATTGGCGCTAATAGCTTAGGTAGAGCTCAAATCAGCTAGAGTTTTAATACATAAAAAAATTAAAATTTAATCAGTTCGAATTGAATTTTAATCGGCTCAAATTTTAATATGTAAAAAAATAAATTTTAATCGACTTGAATTCTAATATGTAAAAAAATAAATTTTAATTGATTCGATTTCGAATTTTATGTCGAAATATTGTTTGGGGATTACGTAAGGGCATTAATGATATTTTAGATAATTTTTTTTTGGTTAAAAATGGTGGTTTAATGGCAAATATAAATTAGAAGGGGGTGTTAGTAATGTTTTTAATAATAGATGGGTTGTCTTTGAAGATATAGTAACCTAGGAGGGGTGTGGCTAAAATTTTTCTTTTTTAAAATGATTAATGTGGTCTTGAAATAGTTTTTTTTATTATTTATTCTTAGAATACAAATACCATTAAAATTTAAATAAAAATTCCAAAGGAATATTTTTTGTCATCAAGAGGTCATACGTGGTCCATAACTACTATTTTTGTTTGATATGGAATTTTCTTCCGTTATCTGGCATTTTTGGGCCCAAAAATAATTAAAAATGCGTATATGACTTTATGCCGTTTGTGACCTTTTAATATTTTTTAAGTGGATTAAGGATCATAGAAAATAAGTTTTTGCATTGTGGAATGACTATTCTTGGTAATGAATGAATTATGTGTCATTTTTGACTAATTGAGTGTAATTCAATGCCAATAAAAATGAAAGTAATGGTCATTCCCTACGAGACTATGAATCCCACTCCCTACCAGGGTGAGTGTGGCACAACCAATCCATTTGAAAGACCTATGTGTATTGCTTCTTATGTACTAGCGTGCTAGTTTTAAGATAAATGGATGGTTGATTAATAATTGACATTATTTATTTATAAGCTTATGTTTGGGTGATGTATGGAACGAGAATTATTCTCCTACGTATAATGTAAAATGAGACATCTCTAATATTATTTTGATTAGATTGTAGCCGTCTTTGGTTGAAAATGTAATCACAGGATTGTATTATTATATTGAGACCTTGTAAGGGAATGTGTTTCGTGTCGCACATTATACATTAATAATTTTTCTTAGTATAAGCTTAATAATGCTAATTGAACATAGTGGAGCCCATGCGCATTTTGTTGTATGGCTCAAGGTTAGATCCTTCCAAAATAAATTTGTTCAATAAACAATTGAAAAATATATTCTTAACTCACATGTCTGAGAGATGATTGTGGACTTTTCGACACATTTTTGATTTCATTATGTGAGAAAGGATAATATTTTTTGGGTGAATTTTTGGAATAAATTAAAAAGGTGTGTAACTAATATCAAACTTGCACATATCCATGTAGTGATCAAATGGCCACCAAGAATGTAGTTGATGACCTTACTAGGAGTGACAAATTGGATGAGATAGACTATGCCATATGGCACTGAAAATACAATACCTATTGAATGAGCAAGAGCTCCTGAAACACTTGACTAGTTCAATGACCCAACTTGAGGATGGGTCCACGACCGAACGCTGTTGAGATCTTGGCGCCTACTAGGCTTGGGATAAGAAAAATTGTAGTGCGCGCTCTACCATGCTTATTAGTATACACGACGATCTTCTGAGGGAGTTTGAGATGTACCCACTACCAAAGAGATGTGGGACCAGCAGAAATTTGCCTATGGTGTACTTCGACTACTAGTCTGACGGCACTTATCCTTAAGTTTGAGACTTATAAAAACGATCCCTGACACACAATGACTAAACATATTACTAATTACTTGACCACTGGTACACTTCCTTCTCACTTTAGTTCTTTGGATGGAACAAAATGTTTGAGTGAGGTTCGTAGCTTATTTTGGGATGATACCTACATGTTTAAATACTCTAAGGACTAGAGCATTTGGAGGTATGTTTCGAATCATGAGATGCTTAGTGTAGTTACCTTTTGTCACAATAAAGCCTGTAGAGGCCATTTTTTTTTTCTAAGAAAACTGTTGCAAAGATTTTGCAATGTGAATTTTATTGGTCTGCCCTTTTCCAACACCCATGATTTTTTCTTATTATGTGATAGGCAACAGCGGTTAGGGGGCATTTCATAAAGAAATATGATGCCCTTAAACGCAATTCTTGTAATAGAAATTTGTGACAATTGGGGCATCAACTTTATGGAACCTTTTTCCCCGTCGTTTGGGTATCCATATATCTTAGTTGATGTGGATTATGTCTCTAAGTGGGTCGAGGCCATTCCATGCCCCAATAATGATCATCAAAATTATGGTAAAGTTTTTAAAGTAATCTATTTTATCGTGGTTTGGAATCCCTCGAGCCATTATTAATGATGGTGGAGCTAACTTTTGCAACCAATATTTTGAAATTTGATGAGAAAATATTTAATTAATCATAAGGTTGTAGCTCCCTACCATCCATAGACAAGTGACCAAGTACAATTGGAGATCAAGAAAATTTTAGAGAAAACGGTAAACCTAGACCGCAAAGATTGGTCTCTCAAACTAACCAATGCGTTGTGGGCTTACTGACCAACTTTTAAAACAATACTAGGCATGTTTCCTTATAAGCTAGCCTATGGTAAATCATGTAACTTGCAAGCATCAAAATATCGTTTCAAAAAGGTTGAAACATCTGAAACAGTTCCGTTTCCAAGGAGATCGAAACAAATCAGTTATGGAACCGAAATTCTAATATTTCGAGGTGTTCCATAACGTTTTGAAATATTTTTTTATATTTCAATGTATTTGCACA